GGGGGTGGGGTGGGGTGGGTATTAACATCCTCGCCCCTACCCCTGCCCCTAATTTTATCAATCGGGGAAAATCCAAACCCGATAAACACGGGTTTTCCCCATCCAAATCGGGGCGGGTTTGGGCAGGTACCCACGGGACAGGTTAGATTGTCATGCCTAAGTAACATTGTGGAGAGTGGGAGTTTTATATTTTTTGACTTTTAGTTTCTGTAGATAGAGATATAGTGGAATAAGGAAAAAATTACAAAATGACACAAGCATTTTCGCTGACATGACAATGCATAAGATTCATTTTAAAAGTGATGTATCGATACATTAGAGTGTAGCTCAACTTTTATATTATAAATAGATTATGATTTTTTTTCTACTTTTCAAGTATTTTATTCTATATGAAAAAGCATAAATATGATAGAAATTCCTTTTAATTTTAAATGATACTTTAGTGTTATTATTATATTTTAAATTTAGGACAACGTAACAGTTAATTCAATATAAATTTAAATGATTATACATGAATGATAATAAATGAATAAAATTAATACAAAATAATAAATACAATTAATTATGCATAAAAACACTTAAATTATAAATCAAATGGCATATATTGATTTGATTTTCTGTTATCAAAAAATTATTCATAATACAAATTGATATTTAAAAAAAAAAAGAATAATTTTTATTAGCATTAAAAATGTTTTTTTTAATAATATTTTTATTTGATTGTATTTTAGATCTATAATTCAAATCAAGTTTCTTTATAATTAAGCTAATTTCTGTAGCATTGTATAAAAAAAATCATACTCAAACAGATATGTTAATCTAATTATATGTGTAGGTATCATACTTTAAAATAGATGAAAATAAAATTATTTGTAATAACTATTTAATTAATAAAAATTAATTTAGACAATTATGTCATCATAAAATGAAATAATTATATTACAATATATATTAATTAACTGCTATTTAAAATTTTAATTAATAGTTATATATTTATAATTGATTTACAATTAAGAGACCTAATTTGATTAATAACTCGATTATTGAAAAAAAAACTCAATAAATATTATGTTTAAAAATAATAAATATTATGTTTAAAAATAATAAATATTATACTTAATTTGGTAAATAAAAATTAACTAATTTCTTGAGATGTATAAATTTTAATTTACTAAATAATTTCATATTAATTTTGGTACTAATATTAAATAGTTAATTATCATGTATAGATTAAAGAAAATTGTAACAAATGTAAAAATGTAACAAATAACCAACCTACACCAAATGGAGAGACATTGCAAAAAGAAAAAAATAATTATAGAGAAAACAAATTGATATTAAAAAAAAGAATATTTTTTATTAGCATTAAAATGTTTTTTTTATAATATTCTTATTTGATTGTGTACTATCCACATCAAGTACCAAGGCCCACCTCGGTACTCACCCATCCAGTAAAGCTGACTAGGCGAGCAAGCCCACAACCTTATTGGGCCATAAATGGCATAATCCTCGCCCGAGAGGAAAACCTTAATTTACACCAAGATACGTGTACTATATACATGAGACCCATACACCTAGCTACAAGAATTAACTTAAGCATCATAATCTCTTTTGCAGGTACCACCCCCATCTCGGAGCAGTCGACGTACCAGAGGAGGCTCATCAATCTCATCAGAGAAGCCTTCCCTAGACCGATCTTAGGTGAGAACATATTGTATTTTAACACTATAATTCAAATTAAGTTTCTTTATAATTAAGCTAATTTCCGTAGCATTGTATGCAAAAAAAAAAAAAAATCATACTCAAACATATATGTTAACCTAATTATATGTGTAGGTATCATACTTTAAAATAGATGAAAATAAAATTATTTGTAATAACTATTTAATTAATAAAAATTATATTAGACAATTATGTCATAATAAAATGAAATAATTATATTACAATATATATTAAGTAACTGCTATTTAAAATTTTAATTAACAGTTATTTATTTATAATTAATTTACAATTAAGAGACCAAATTTGATTAATAACTTGATTATTGAGAAAAAAACTCACAAATTGTTTAAAAATAATAAATATTATACGTAATTTGGTAAATAAAAATCAACTAATTGCTTGAGATATATAAATTTTGATTTATTAAATAATTTCATATTAATTTTGGTACTAATATGAAATAGTTAATTATCATGTATAAATTAAAGAAAAATTGTATCAAATGTAAAAATGTAAAATAACCTAACTACACCAAATGGAGAGACATTGAAAAAAGAAATAAATAATTATAGAGAAAATGTAACAAATGTGTTATCAAAACAGGTAAAAATAAGAACCAATTAGCATACCATACGAACATGAAATCTCTTTATTCCTTGATTCCATAGGGTCGTAATACAAATTAGTGATAAAGAATGAAATTCTTTAGATTACAAAATGAAATTTCATACATTTAATACAGTGATACATTCTAGCTATATGAAAATTGTTTCTTCTAGTCATAGGTCATAGTTCTAGCCACAGAACAGATAAATCATAATGAAGGTCAAAATTTACCTCTTTTTGATGTAGATATGATTCTAGTTGCTACAAATATGATTTCAATGTGGTGAGAAAGTCGTGGATGACAACGAAAAGGATGTTGGTGCAAGAGATAGTGTCGGGACAAGTGAGCTCGAGAGGAACAGGTTGATGCCAATAAAAGTGAAGACATTGGAGAGAGGTGACAACAATGACGGATTTGACGTCATTGTGGAGAGTGAGAAACTCATAAGTAAAAAAAGGAGAGAAGGGAGGAGGTAGAGAGAGGCAATGACGCGATTGTGGAGAGTGAGAAACTCAAACACAAAAAAAAAGAGAGAAAGGAGGAAAGGAGGAGTGAAATTGTAGAGAGTGAGACTTTTAAATTTTGTGACTTTTAGTTTCTATAAATAGAGATTAAAATAAGGAAAAAAATTACAAAATGACACGTAAGCTTTTTCGCTGACATGACAGCACATAAAATCCATTTTAAAGTGATGTGTCGAAGTATTAAAGTGTAACTCAACTTTTATATTATAAATAGATAGAAGATTATTATTGAATCATTAAGAAGGAATTTTCAACAAATCAAAAATCCAGTTATTCATTTCTACTTTATTTTTCTCATTTATTCATATTATTCTAAGAATTATTCCTATAAAACATCTCGGTCCTTAATAGTGTGTTTAGATAGAGAATTTAAATGAAGTAATTCATTTATTTGAAGAATTTCAAATTCTTTGAGGTGAAATATCTTGTTTGGATGGAGAATTTATAAAGAATTTGAAATTCAAGCATTTGTGAAATCCCTTGAAATAGTAGAATTTCAAATTCTCCCAAAAAAGTGAAAATTTGAAATTCCTCATTTTTTTCTTCTTCTTATTTCACTTATATATTTTATCTCATCTCTTATCTCTTCATATTTTTAATTATTGAATATTTAAAAATATTTTTAATTATTGAATATTTAAAAATATTTTTAAAATTATTAAATATTATCTAATATTAATTTTTAAAATTATTAAATATTTAAAAATTAGTTAATATTTATTTTTATAAAATTTAATTTAAAAATATCAACATATAAATATATTTTTAAAATCAATTTTACCATGGTAGAATCAAATTATCATATCCAACCCTATAATTTAAAATTTGAGAAATTTGAATTGACTTATCCAAACAAAATATTTTAATAATGATAGAAATTGAAATCAAAGTAATTCAAATACCAAGAATTTAAAATTTCTTAAATTTGTAAAATTCCTCATCCAAACACACCATAACAGTCTTACTACATTTCTCTTCCTGAAAATGTTATTTTGTTAGGTCATTGTATATTAATGGGTTTGAAGTTGAACAACGCTTTGTATACTGCAACGTTATAGTATGGGACATAATATTACTCTTGTGACGGTCACTAGAATCCCTTTCTGCCAAAATTTAAGTGAATATCAAAATTTATTAGAAATTACTGCAATGAATGTCCAACAGATAGAATAACTCTGCAATGGATGCTATGCTAGTATGCTAGCTACACTCAATAAGATATTCTTGAACTAAATGTTATGATCATGTTTGTTTCAGAAATACTTTACACCCTATGCAGTTTCATCCTGTGCTGCTTCTAATGGCCTTTTACTTGGGTTGTGAAAGTCACAATTAAAAGACGTTACTTGAGTACAATTTTGGAAGCATACAATAAAAAGGGCATATAGCTAAATTGTACAAGCCAGAGCCTTCTATCCCCAAAACCTGTACATGATATATGTCTATAGTAGATCTTTTTCTCCCCTCATGTGCCAGAAGAAGCAAGTATCAAATTACCGGTTTCACATATTTCAACTTCAGATGTGGCCACTGATTGCAATTGAAACATCAATATGAGCATGGATAAACTTTTTCAAAAATACTTGTAGAAGAGAAAAATAGAAAGGAAAATCAAAATAAACTTCTCCATAAACTAAACTAACTTATATATGAGTTTAAAATAAGATTTTGAAGAAGCTAATAAAAGAGTTTTTACAAAATAATTCATGTATAAACTAATTTTAATTTATGGAGAAGTTTATTTAATTTTTCCTTCCTAATTTGTTCTCCTCAAAATTCTTTCAGAAAAGTTTATCCAAATAGAGCTTATGTCACTTGGAAGCTCTCTTTCATCCATTTTGCCTGAAGTTGCAATCCAGCATCTTTAAAAGCATTCCAAGCAGATTGGTACAGCCTCTGATCTAGTCTTGTTCCTTCTGTCTTCATGTCCTGTAAGAGTTTCACCAGATCATCAACCTGACCAACCTTGGAGTACACACCAACCATTATTCCTGCCATGACCCTATCAATTAGCCCCCCATTCATCCTATACTCATTGAAAAGCTTCACACAGGTTTCAAACTCTCCTGCCTTACTATAAGCACCAATGACACTAGTGTAAGTCACCTTATCTGGTGCTACCTTTCTTCTCTTCATTTCTTTCCACACCTTCTCAAGTTGCTTCAAATTCTTGTCCCTCCCATGCATGTCTATCAAGGAGTTATAGATCCACACATTTGGTTTGCACCCTCTCTCTTTCATCTTAGCCACCAACCTCATTGCACTTCTGACCCTCCCAGTTCTGCCATACATCACAATCATGCTTGAATAAGCATACACACATTTATCAAACCCCTTTTCCTCCATCTCTGAAAACACCTTCTCTGCATTGTTGTATTGCCCAAGTCGCCAGTATGCATTTATAACTGAAGCATAGGTGACTTGACCAGGTTCATAGCCCTTGGAAATTAGCTCCTCGAAAACCTTAACAGCTTCTGAAAACCCTCTTTTCTTGCTGAAGCCATTGACAACAGTGCATAGTACACAGTCAGAAACCTTGACATCGGCATCCTCCATTGCCTCAACAACTTCCAAAGTCTTCTCCAACAGACCTTCTTCAACATACATAAGCACAAGCTTTAAATAGACCTCAGGGTCCTTTATCATTGTTTTGCTTTTAGCTTCTCTAAGAAGCTCCTCGGCCACATCAACCTCGCGCAAACTCGCAAAAGAGTATATCAAACTAGAGTAAATTGAGTGTTCTGAAATCCCTTTCTTAGTCATCTCTCTAAAGTAATCAAGTGCTTCAAAAGCTCTTCCACACTTCGCTAATGACTCACACAGAATCACATATATCTGAGCTAAATACCTTGTTGAACCTCTCAACTTCCTACTTTCAAATTCATGAAACAACTGAACCACTCTCTCACACTTGTCAAGTTTAGAGTAAGCATCCATTATGTGTAAATAGCCTCTTGAATCCAGAACAACACTAGAGGATTTCATTCTCTGAAAGACCAAAACAGTGCTCCTAAACATATGCAGCTTATTGTAACTTCTCATGGCAGAACTAAAAGCTGAGCAAGCAACTTTACTATCAGATTTAAAAGCATCAAGCAGAACCTCAGCAAGCCTGAATTTCCTATGTTCAATGCAAAACTTAATCAACCTAGAGCAAGTAGCTCTATCAGGCAACACATGGTAAACCTTAAAGTCTTCTAAAACTGATAAAATGAAATCCCATTTCTTCGATCTCATCAAGTACCTGATCACATGCTTTAGTATTGATTTCTCGGGCCTAAACTCTGGCCTGTCTTTCAACCTTTGGTAGTAGTCAAATGCAAGTTCCTTAGTTTTCGGATCCTCGAATAGCCCACATAGAAACTCGTTCAAGTTCTCAGTTCCTTGCGTGGAATATTGTTGAACATCGGCGAAGTTAACATCTACATGGATGATGGGGGTGTTGGAAGGTTCTTCTTCCAAAATGGGTGTGGGAGAAGCTGAGAAATTGACATGGAAGAAGCGTGGTGGGACAGTGTACAAGGAAGGGAAGTGGCACGTGGGGGTGAATGCATGCACGTGATGGGTTGTTCTGCAACATTTAGTGCAAGCAAGAGACCATTCTGCAGAACAGGAAATGGCCATCACAGTTGTGGTTTGGAAGAGAACACTGTTGTTTGGTTGAGGGAGGATTGTGGTTTCGTTACCATATATGTTATGGCATTATCTTAAACATGTGGAGCATCTTCGCCACTCAAAAAAAGACGTGTGGTGTGGGTCAATCGTGAACATGTTATTTCAGATTCTCGTAAATGCCACGTTAATCTTTTTTAGCCATACCTATATTCCTTTTTTATCTGTTCAGACTTCAAAGTCAAATGAAATTTTTTTATGTGCATTACATGAGTGACCAGTGTATTTATGTTATGAATGAACACATACTATTGACTTCTGTTATTTATATTTTATATATTCTAAACATTTGATATTTTTGTTTTAAAGGAATGGTCATTTTAAAGAAGAAAATTAATTTATTATTCTTTTTCTATAAAAAAAAATATCATTTTTTTAAAATTTCATCATTATCTCTCAATATTTTTTACTAAAAAAATTTAATAATGAATCAAAAAATAATTAGATGTAATTATATTAAACTAATCTTGAAAATACTCGATAACCTTTTCATTTTTTGTAATTTTTATTTATTTTTATCAAAAAATTTAACCATCTGATATTCAACTAGTTCGAAATGAAATACATGTCTCAAGTGTGCAAATTGCCAAGGTATCGAAAATTCAATAGAGTAATGAATAATTACTCTGACAGACTGAAATTATGATTTTTGCTCTATAATTCAATCACTTTTTTCGTCTCTTAAAAGAATTTAATTTTTCAACTAATTATTTGTACAGACAATTTTGCATCCTGTAATGCATCGTATTTCTTATTTGGCATTAGCAAGATTTATGACGTAAAAGACTCGTGAACTAAAAAAAGGGAATGATATGATAGACATAATTATTTGGTCTCGCTGTTTTCGGCTCAAATTTTTAATGATGTTTCAATGTGGTGTGTATCAATTCAAAACTACCATTCCTCAAGGAAGATAAGTCAAACCAAACATTCAAATACGAAGTGGCTAATAGTTCACACTAACACCAATTGACAATAGAATTATTGGCTTTGAAGTAGCACTAGCACATTCCCAATATCTCTCAAGTCCTCATCGGGCGAGAGCCGCTAGATCCCGCAACCAAGTTGCAGGGTTTTAATTAATCACTTCATCAAATCTGGCCCAGGTATGCATTCTTTGATTTTCAAATGTCATCATATATAGAAAGCACGTACTGAATTACGATTTTTTCAGTTTTATATTTCCTTTTGTTTTTTCTTCTTTAGGTTTTATGTTAGTAATCATCATGGTATATAGTATTCAAACGTGGTATTTCAAGGGGAAACATTTCAACTAGGAAAATCGTTCATTATACTTCGCCACTCTGACTCCCAATGGAATTATAGAGATCAAACAACTCAAGGATCGAGTCTGCAAAATAAAAAAACTAGAGCTTCTCTGAAGAAGTAAAAGTAGAATGTTAGCAGAAATCATTGTAGTAAGCTGGTTGGTACGACTAAGAAATTAAAGGAACAATACATTTTACGAACTCGTAGCAGTTCAAAACACTATTTATACAAGATATCACTATCCCCTTCTTCCAATTATGGTTGTTCATTGTGTCCAAATGCTTGATCACAAAACTAACCATACTGTCCTAGAAACAAAGCAAATATCAAAGATAAGTGATAACAGAGCTCAATGTGAGAATACATGAAATATCACGTTTTGTGATACAAGCTTTGCCACTGAACATAGAAGACTGACTTGTCTCTCTACTCTAAAAAATTATCCTTGGACCGTGATAACCATCCAAGAAAATAGTGAACCACTGATAACTCCCCTTTTCAGCGAATTGGGTGATATTGCGTGATACCACGCTTAGGTGGCAGCTTCCTCAAAATGAAAAGAACCAAAGACGAAGGCAATATTTCCACCAACTGCAGCAAAAATGGGAAATCAGTAAGAGGAATAGTAGGAGACACTTTCGACAAAGTAGAAGATATATTAACATATTTCTTTAATTGCTTATTCTTGTGATAATTGAAACTGTTAGCCATCACGATGGTGGTTTTATCATTTCATAGAATAAGTGTTTCACAAAGCATGGTAAAAAATACAATTTCCATCTGGTTGAAAACTCGTTTAAATGATGATAACTTCATTATGAATTGGTGTATTTTGAAAGAGATTATTTGTTATCCGATTTAGCTCAATTCCCAGTTAGGATGCAGGTGAAAAACAATCTTACCGAAAACAAAGGCTAACAGTAATGTCAAATTCCAGAAAGAAAAGTTGAAGTTAAGTAGAAAAGAGTTCTTCTAACAGTTAAGGCTAGAAAAAAAAATTAAAAAAAGAAGCAAAAATTAGGCAGAGGACATGTCAGCATAGTAGTCAATCCCGGATAGCGGCGCGGAGCGGCCGACCTCCATCTGCACCTATGTTTGTGCCATTACCAGTTCCACCATCTGCACTTGAGCAAAATGATGAGCCAGTTGGTGCCCAAAATTTTCATGCAGGTGGACCTTCTTCCAGCACCAATTCTAATTTACAGTAGTCTCCTATCGCTCTTCCATTTCCTCCTAATTTAATTCCAAGCAAAAAGATGGAAGAGGTGGATAAGGAGATATTGGAGACCTTCAGGAAGGTGGAGGTGAACATACCTCTACTAGACGCCATCAAGCAAATTCCCAGATATGCAAAATTCTTGAAGGAGCTGTGCACTCATAAGAGGAAAATGAAGGGCAATGAGCGAATCAGCATGGGTAGAAATGTGTTTGCTTTGATAGGTAAATCTGTTCCTCACATTCCTGAAAAATGTAAGGAACCAGGTACTTTCTGCATACCTTGTATTATTGGGAATATCAAATTTGAAAATTCCATGCTTGATTTGGGTGCTTCTATAAATGTCATGACTCTGTCCATTTTTAAATCTCTGTCTCTAGGTCCTATACAGCCTACGGGTGTGGTGATACAGTTGGCAAATAGAAGTGTCGCCCACCCTACAGGTTTCATTGAGGATGTCTTAGTTCGGGTTGGTGAACTAATTTTTCCTGCTGATTTTTATGTGCTTGATATGGAAGATGGATTTTCCCATGGTTCTGCCCCAATCATTTTAGGTAGACCATTTTTAAAAACAGCCCGGACTAAGATTGATGTTTATGCTGGCACCTTGTCTATGGAATTTGGTGATATTGCTGTTCATTTTAATATATTGGATGCCATGAAATTTCCTTCTGAAGCTCATTCTGTTTTTCGTGCTGAATTGATTGATGATCTAGTTGATGAGCACTTTTATGGTTTAGATTCTCCTCATGCTAAGAAGCATTCATTTTCATCTGATTGGTATAACTATCTTCCATGTATTGAGTCTGAATCTGAATGTCAATCTGAATATCAATCTGAATGTGATTATGAGGCATCTGAACTTGATACTTTGGGTGTTGTACCTCTTGGTCTTGATTTTATACAGTCAGAATGCACTAACCATGTTGCAGGAAGTAC